TGGTAAATTCCAGCCAATTTCTGGAGAAGATTGCTGATTGATTTGTCGCGTTCTGCCTGAGCGATTATAATCTACATGGAATGATGACGTCTGAGTAGGAGACTGGACTCCAGGAAAGACCGAACGTACACTAGATGCAGCAGACAGTACACCCAGTGCTATCTTTGCGTATGGATGTACCTATACAACTTGATTAGTTCGTTTCCAATCAACAAGAATGGCCCATACATCCGCGATCTTCTCAAGGAAAGCATTGATAATCTTTATGGGTTGGAGATACGTCGTTGCAAAATTATCCGCGGCAGCGAGACCTGCTGGGGCATTGTTGGCGGCGGATGCAATAGAAGTCGCATGTCCCCCGAGTAGTCTCATGTTTTCTGTACCATCACGGGCACCCTGAAGTTCAGCATCGACTAATTGGGGATTAGGCCCTTCCTCCTCGCCAGAAGGAGCAGCCTGAACCGTGAGACCGCTGAAATTAGAGAAGGAAATCAAAATATTTGACGAAAATACCTGAGGAGCAGACTCTCCGGACAGCCATTGGTTTATGGAGTCGCTGGGAATCTCAGATGTAGTGGGATGCCTGTTGTCGTTTGAAGGATGGAGATCTGACAGCGTGTCCTGGGCGCCTCTAAGAAAAACTGATGAACTAGGATGGCAAGTTCGAGCACTTACCTCGGCTTTCTGACTCGATGAAGCCCCTTCAGTTGCAATGTCCTGGGCTGCAGTGGTGCTGTTGCTTGTTCGCTTGAAGCGTTTCTGCACAATATCAGCCGTATCCAGGACAGTCAGTATTCACATCCACGCACAGGAAGTTTTTTGGTTAACACATTTTTCAAATTTCTCAGGGACTGACGGATTCCTCTACGAGGTTGGTTCTAGATGAAAAATGTATAAGGGCATCGATGGATTTCAGAGACGACATACCGAGCTTTCAGCAACATTTGCCTGGCTAGTTCTGGAGGCTCCTGGAAAAGAATCAGGCCTACGGTCTTCACTCATCACGAGCAGTCGTAGGTCAGTGTGAGCGAAACGGTGGGGAACAATGAGAAGAGTGTGAGAAGGGAATGGGCGTCTTATCCTTTGGCAGAGCCCGGGCTAGATATTAAAAGCACGGCCGACACGTTGACTTCGATTGCTACCAGAACCACGCAATTCCCGTCAATTCATAGCGGCAGGTTATTGTGCATGCACCACAGTGCAATGAAGAGGACACAAAGTCAAGAGAGCTCGGTCTCGGGAATAGAATTATACAGGCTGCAGCCCCTTCATGTTAGGTCTGGTGTTGTCAAAGTTTAAGTTGGCTATGGCAAGCCTGCATGCTAATGTGGTGGAATTGAGTTCCGACTGTACTTCAAGCACACAACGAGACCCTAGTGCATGGGATGAAATACTAGTAATGGTGCTGGTAGACATGGCTCTGTCGACCGAGTGATGTAACATGACGCGTGGGAAGGAACGTGGAAGAAGGACTGATCACGCGCATCATAAGACAACCTCTGAAATGATTTCCTTTTCTGACAAGATTTTCCCTTCCAAGCTCCCTCTGTTAGGATTCTCGTCGTCTCCCCGTCTCCCTTGTTGTCTCTGTCACTCCCAGTTGTAACTTGTCTCCTGTAGTTATCGGGTTTACTTTTTTTGCTCATTGTTCCCTCAGAACACGTCACCCGCTTTTGCGCCAGAGTCCTTGCACCAGCGCGTGCTTAATTTTAACGACTGTCCCCCGGGCTACAGCAACTTTCTGTGCGTGGTTACAGCAGGCCCTTGCAATTCAAATATTCACGCCTTGAGCTGCCAAATCTGCCCTTCCTCCCGCCGATCCTATCTCTGTCGAGAATGCCACATCCGACGTTCTGGTACACAGGCTGGGACACGATCTTATAATTCAGCCGATATGAATCGTTGATGTGTCACTTTATATTTCTTTCATCGTTGTATGTAGGTTGGCACCTCCCATTCTAGGATTTGCAGATCAGCGTGCCCGTCCTGCACGAAATCACTCTCCCAGACAAGACACTGGTATGTCATCTTCACCGTGATACTTGCGTCCCTCTCCTATCGAGAACCACTTGTATTCATTTGGTCAACGATCTAGCCATTATGATCACGATGACACGTGATATTCGACCTCAATTGCTAGCACATCACCTCGTCATACCACTGGTTCTCTTCCCCCAGATCTGTATATACATATCGTGTCATCAATATCTTCCGAACCCCTACCTGCAGTACTCAAGGTGAGATTTTTATTACGATCATCTGCTTCATCTATCTCAGCCGACTCCAGACCAAATGCAGAGATCACATTCCAGCCAGCACGCACACATACATATGTGATCGCGAGATTCTGACCAACCTGGTTCTACACCCTGATTATCTACCCAACGAGTTACTGCCGTGGGTTCTAAACCATTCCATCCTGTGACGAATGGTGGGATTAATGGTCCACATTTGATACTGACCTTCCCGCTTTCTCCATCTCGCACCGTCAGGGAGAGAAGGTACGACCATTTATTTTGCTTGTCGTGAATCCCGACTCGGAACTTACTCTTTGACTTTGACCTGTAGACGGAAAAGAAGTACATGGTCTTCAAGGAGAAATATACTGCCCGTCCCATGTTTGGATGCACATTCCGGTTAGCATTCATTTTGGTATTTTTCCAATACCTGACAACACCATTTTCAGACGAAACAGATGACTTCTTCAAACGAGTCGCGACAAAGTGAAAAATTTTCTCTGGAAGTGAGACCCTTTATACCTTTTGACCAAAGTGAACGATGAGCTGCACCGTACACAGGGAAAGCCCCAGCGGAACCCTATACAACTCGGCTGAGCTTGCGTCAAGATCTTAGATGGATATGCTAACTATCAAGGCAATGCTACAATTTCGCTATTAAAGGTGATCTCTACTGCCCTGGAAGAGGCGTTTCAGCAGGTAGGCTTCAACTTAACCTGCTCACAAATGAATTGACGTGCCCACCTCAGAGCCCAACCAAAGACATCTTGACAGCGTTCCTCAATTCAATATCCACCCTCGAGGTTGATGTATGTCCTGGATCATTTCCAGAACCCAAATCTTACATGGTGGTCTCGATTTTAGTTGCTCTCTGTAGACGATGACAATGTAGGACTGAGTGCACCAAGCACTGTAAGATGCATATCAATCACTCCATTGTTACAGTCGTTATCTTTTAACCAATCGTAAAAATGAACACCCTGCTTTTGCATTCATACACAAGCAGATTCAAATTTTGGCAAGTAAAGAACGTCCTCTATGTATGGGGAGTGTGACGCAAGCCTATCGTCTCCGAGAGATCGCGACTTTCCTATAATGGCTGCATCACAAACATCGTTCAGCCAACTTTGCTCGAATCTCAAGTCTCAGTGATGGTGCCAATGATAATGCTCATGTTGCAAGAGCGATTAGAGAACATGTTGCATGGTATCTCCATAGACCACTGTTGAGTGATCCCTGACATTATTCCCAACCCGGACCGTCAGGAAGGCAAACACGAACTTCGGAAACACAGTACAGGGCAGGGCGTATATCGATGATCTTTGGCATGAAGATGGAGGGTATACTCAAAAGCACGATTTGACCCTCGTTAGCATAAGAAATAATGAGGGGAAACATGTCACTTATAACGCCACTTGGAGAGGGGGGTAATCCCTCAGCTACGTGGTTCATGGAAGAATTTGAAGGTGATCAGATTGAAGATGAAAGAAAGGTCATCAGGGACCAGCGTTGCCTCTGCCATGAAAAAATTGTATTTTCACGTCGTTCTTTTGATGTGGGAGTCCGCTCACCCAGATCAGTTCAACTTATAACACAATTCTAAGCGAGTTGGCTGCCCAGTAATGGATTGACCTACCTCTTGTCCGAACGTAAGTCCTAGAAATACCATAATGTCAGTGATCTTTTCATACTTGGTCTTGCTCACCCCAATGGTGCATTACCCCGACAGAGGCGGCAACTGTGAAATGGCAGCAAAGGTCAGTGCATTCGTGCTTGATATACCGCAATCCAGCGCTTACATCGCTAAACTGAGATTTGAGGGATGATATCTGATTGATCGAAGTCAAGTGTTTCAGCCTGAATTCCAGTAGAAAGACGATGTGCATCCAGGGATACTGATGGGATAGAGGTAAAAGTTGTTGGTGAAATCGCAAAGCAGTGACTCGCGCGGAATGTTTGAACGCCGCAGAAGATCGGAGAACTGTTCGTGATTTCGGCAACCTGCCAGTGTGATCTTTGAAGCATTCTTTTCGTATTCGGTATTCTTGCTGCAGTCGAGTGAGGGGCTCAGCCTTGGCCCATCGACGACACCAGACCAGCGCCTAAGGCGAGTCAATTACGACACGAGCAGAATCTACAACCTTTCTTCAAATTCATGTACGCGCTGATCAGTACAAATGTGACCAAAAGTACATACATGCATCGTATTCAATTCCCTGTCATAAAACACGATCGACATGTGTAGCGATTAGGGCAGTCGTACAAAGAAAGTGGGAAGTTGTACAAAGAAGGGGGGGAAGGCGCGGTTGTACAAAAGAGGATGGGGTTGTTGTACAAAGAAAGAGCGATCAAATGGTGTGGACAGGAACGGAGGCAGTAGGAATGAAAGCGATGACGAAGGGGCGGTGATGATACACGCTTGAATGCGAAGCTAATGAATGTGTGACGACATTGGTTTGGTGGTTCATAAGTAAGTAATGACAGGATGGAAGGGATGCAATGGTGAATAGATAGATCAAAGCCGTCGACGAGCTTGAGGAGCGAATAGCCAGTTGGGAGAGAGAGAATCTGAGAGAATCTCCCATTCGTTGAAGGGAGAATTTCCCCAATCCGTAAAAAAAACCGTTCTGAGGAGACGCGGAGACGACATAAAGAAACTGAAAAATAGAGAGTGTGAACTCCGCGTTTCACAGCATGAGCTAGAGTGACAGTGGCCGCTCAAAGAAGAGAACGAAGGATTGTGCAAGCGTGCATTATCGCGCATCATGGCGAACGGGCGAGCGAGTGTGGGCGTCCTAAGAAATACAGAATGAAATATGGATCATCAGCATATACAAAGTGAGGGACTTGCAAGACATACCTTTGACGATTGGAAATGAAAAAGACCAGTCAGCAGCAAAGGCATGGGTGGTGACGAGATAGGCAGAAGAAATAGGAGGGAGGTCAAAGAGTTGGGTGGAGGCGAACAGGACGAACAGATAAGAACTCGCAAAAAAGTACCGAAACTAGATCAGTTTTCAAAAAGGCGACAGCAAGAGAAGATTGAGAACAAGAAACAATAATAAGTAAGAAGCATCTTGTGAACGACCAGACTGTCAAAAGTGAAACAAAACAAGCTGAAACGCACTCCCGAGCGGGAGGATCCCACTCTTGCCAGATAAAACAGGACTCGTAGCCCTCAAACTCCCAAACGAGATCCTACGCACGGCACGACGAAGTGTGAGTGGACGTGTCTGTGTAGCGAATAGAGGCGTAGCAGGCATACTCGGGGATGCAGTGACGGGAGATGCGAGGGATACCGTGACAGGAGGTCCGATGGGAGACGACAGTGGGATACGTGACAGAGGCGATGCAATCGCCTGTGAAAACGGGAGTTCAGGACCAAACATTGAAGGGTTTCGCACGAGGTTGCGGCAGATGGACTTTGGCTTTGTCGTCTCCGGTCCCTCCTTCTCCTCTGCCTTGGGTTTCGCCTTCGGCACGGTCAGCCACGTGGTTCATGCAAGAATTCGAGGGTGATCGGATCGAAGATGAAGACGAGTGGTCCATGTAGCACCCAAAGCTTACATCAAACAGTGCAAGCAATGGTGTGCACCACCTTTATCTTCGCAGGTGTGTACAACAGCGAGCTACGATAAGTTAGATGCGTGTAAATGAGAAACAGATCACTCACTGAAAGGCTTATCTCCACAATCGGGTAGCTCATCCTATGTCATTCCAAGTTCGCAACGACTTCCCTGTGGCCCTAAGTAATATTCCTTATAATACATCTGGTAATATACATACCGAGCATCAGCATCCGAATCATGTTTGTGAGTCTCCGTAGAATATTTTAAAAGGTCGCGATGTCGGACCACACCGTATATTGGTCGGATGATAGGACTCAACAGCTGATTTCTAGCCTCTTCAGTCAACAATGATGGGCAAGTAGACGCTTGCAGGTATGTGCTTGGAAGACGCTTTGAGATTTTTTGCATTGATGACTGACGATGGAGCGTGAGGGTGAACGAAACGAATACTGAGGTGATGTGTGACCTACCTTGGAGTTGATAAGCTGGCCATCCACGCTACCGGAGATGAAGTATCACCTGAAGAGTAGCGCAGAGGATGACAGGGTGTGGTTGTTGATTTTGGCGTTGGTGTTGTGGGTGAGATCGATGGGGGGAATGTGGCAGGGTTTGAAATATCGCACCGGTGGTCTGCTGCATATTTGTATTCGTATTAATACTGATACCCAGTCGCCTTTGGAACTAGAATGCAAGTGAGTGGCATACCCAGGAATGGACAATGCAACGGTATGCATCAACGGAGAAGGTGAATTCGGAAGATTGTTAAAGGCGAGATCGCGTCATACTGACTCATACAACCTCTGAAACGATTTCCTTTTTCTGACAAGTTTCCTTTTTCAACTTCATCTTCCCTTGCCGCCTAGACCGTCTTCTCTGGACTAGTTATCAAAACGCGATCAATATGACTTCGTACCTTCCACGGGTGAACCATATCACAAAGTCCTAGAACTCTACTGCTTGCACGTCTTGCCTCTGAGTTTGGGCGAGTGGCAGTACGTCAAAGAACTTCTGTCCTGCGCAAGTCCTGCGAGAATGAACTCTCGTCCGACGAAAAACACGTGAGTTTAATTTCATGATCCTTATGTCGCACTGAACACAATATTATCAGGAACTTCATTTGGCCCTCGAGGCTCAGCATGCTCACGCGTTAGAGAGTACAAGGCAGGAGACGCCAAAACCCGAGACTCCTCCCTCTCCTACATTAATACCTCCACTCCGCTCTCTAAGAGCTCTATCCCCAACCTCTTCCTCCTCTTCTCTAACCATCACATCAACCCGCACTGCCATCCCAGCATCCCCCGTCCAAAACTTGCTCGCCAACAATCCGCGTCCTCCACATCAGCAGTTTCGAACTCCACCATAACCAGATCCCCTCGCCACCAATTGAAAGAACAAAAACCCTTGCGATGATCCGAAATAAATCAGATGGAACATAATGGCATCGATACAAAGTGCAAAGACATCACTGAATTGCTCTGCACCATGTCATAGACTATCAGGCTGGAGCGCTGAACTGCAATGCATCTCGTGCAGCTTCCCTCTTCGCGGCCTGCAGCGTCCACATTCACGTCAAACTGCGTTCGACCTGTTCCTTCCTCGCGCGTTGCCTTCGCCTGTTCAAATGACTCCAATCTTCCCAACACCTACGTCAGCTGCCATGAGCCGAGGCAATCCTAGTAACTCCGACTTCGAGAGAGTAGAGGCAGGCAAGGCTTAGGTGGAGGAGGGGGCGCCGTCATCTCCACAACCAAGTGTTTCTCGGTGCAGCGAGTAATGCAGCCTGTTCCTTCCGCGCAACTTTGGTCACCGTCTGAAGCCGGTGGTCAATTGCTGCTTGCGGGAGCGTTCGCTTGGTGTGAAACATTTTGATCTTCTTCGAATTTACTAGGTCCGGGAGCACCACTCTTCAAACACCTGCATTATGAGACTGAGTGCTCAGTGCATCGACCAAGACCTATATCAATATCAACTCACTGTAGAGACCCCATGGGATGCTCTGGATGGGGCGGTCAAGTAGAAGGTTGCCTTGTTATTCTACGTACGATAGTTGGATGCTCTTTCTTCGCCACATTATGCTCCAGCCTGAGTGACTCACAAGTTAGATCGCTGTCTGTTGCAAAGCTACATTGTAAATATCCTTAGTCGACAATGGCATTGTCTATCAACTATACTGCGTACAAGCTCACATACTGAATGCAAGCAATGGCGTGGCCAGAGATTTTTCGAAATAAGGGAATGGCGGCTGCGACTTTAACTTTGGCGTGCAAGAATTGGGCAGCGACAACTTGAATGTACTCACTAAGATGCTCAGTCTTGTTCAATGTTCGCCACTCGAAGTTTTGGTGACACATGTGGATTCTGGAAATATTAGGTTGACGAGACTCGAAAACAGAAGATGACAAAAACGGCTCGAAAACGCTACAGTACTGTGAATGTACACTAGTAACTAGAGTAGTACACATTAACTAGTGCACGCAGCGCATCATTCAGTCGGACAAGAGTAAATTCAAGCTCGGTGCTAGGTATAGAAATCGACAAAGAATCAAACGGTACACTCAATGTTGCAGTAATAAAAGTATTGTTACATGGAGCTAGAAGTCCTGATGTTAGCAACTGCGAGAATGGTTGGTAAAGACTAAGAACTCACGCATCTCGGCAACTCGACCAGTGCGTCCCATGTGCCATGCGGCTCAAATCAAGCTCAACACCTCCTCTCGGGATCACCAATGCAGTGCTAGGAGTATAAAATGGATATCGGGAAGCGGGAGGTACCCAGAAAAGGAGCCGATGATTGGGTCCCATGATCCATCCATCAGCCTGCAGCACGAAAGGGGTGGAATTAGAATCATGATGAGAGGCGGGTTCGAGCAAGTCAGCGGGGTTGGGCAGGGCGTGTTCCAGGCTGGACGAGAAGGAAATGAAGTGATAATTGCAAGTGTTGGTTGGCATGGTACAGCGTTCTTGAGTGGGGGGTGCGGAGCTTTGACGTAGCGAAAATGGGAAGGAATCTGGTTCTCTGGGTATGGGGGATGGCTGCACTTTCCCTACATCCCATAGCCGCACAGTGTTATCCGCCGAACCAGACGCGATTGTACCATCCGGTGAGAACGAGACTGACCGAACCGAACTAGTGTGCCCCTCCAAGGGCTCACCCATTGGCTGTCCCGTCCCTGCATCCCACAGCCGCACAGTGTTATCCTCCGAACCAGACGCGATGCGAGTACCATCCGGTGAGAACGAGACTGACGAAACATAACCAGTGTGCCCCTTCAAGGGCTCACCCAATGGCTGTCCCGTCCCTGCATCCCACAGCCGCACAGTGTTATCCTCCGAACCAGACGCGATGCGAGTACCATCCGGTGAGAACGAGACTGACGAAACATAACTAGTGTGCCCCTTCAAGGGCTCACCCAATGGCTGTCCCGTCCCTGCATCCCACAGCCGCACAGTGTTATCCTCCGAACCAGACGTGATGCGAGTACCATCCGGTGAGAACGAGACTGACAAAACATAACTAGTGTGCCCCTTCAAGGGCTCACCCAATGGCTGTCCCGTCCCTGCATCCCACAGCCGCACAGTGTTATCCTCCGAACCAGACGCGATGCGAGTAGAATCCGGTGAGAACGAGACTGACGAAACCCAACTAGTGTGCCCCTTCAAGGGCTCACCCAATGGCTGTCCCGTCCCTGCATCCCACAGCCGCACAGTGTTATCCCTTGAACCAGACGCGATGCGAGTACCATCCGGTGAGAACGAGACTGACAAAACATAACTAGTGTGCCCCTTCAAGGGCTCACCCAATGGCTGTCCCGTCCCTGCATCCCACAGCCGCACAGTGTTATCCTCCGAACCAGACGCGATGCGAGTAGAATCCGGTGAGAACGAGACTGACAAAACCCCACTAGTGTGCCCCTTCAAGGGCTCACCCAATGGCTGTCCCGTCCGTGCATCCCACAGCCGCACAGTGTTATCCCAAGAACCAGACGCGATGCGAGTAGAATCCGGTGAGAACGAGACTGACGAAACATAACTAGTGTGCCCCTTCAAGGGCTCACCCAATGGCTGTCCCGTCCCTGCATCCCACAGCCGCACAGTGTTATCCCTTGAACCAGACGCGATGCGAGTAGAATCCGGTGAGAACGAGACTGACGAAACCTCACTAGTGTGCCCCTTCAAGGGCTCACCCAATGGCTGTCCCGTCCGTGCATCCCACAGCCGCACAGTGTTATCCAAAGAACCAGACGCGATGCGAGTACCATCCGGTGAGAACGAGACTGACCAAACATAACTAGTGTGCCCCTTCAAGGGCTCACCCAATGGCTGTCCCGTCCCTGCATCCCACAGCCGCACAGTGTTATCCAAAGAACCAGACGCGATGCGAGTACCATCCGGTGAGAACGAGACTGACGAAACCTCTCTAGTGTGCCCCTTCAAGGGCCTCACCCAATGGCTGTCCCGTCCGTGCATCCCACAGCCGCACAGTGTTATCGTGCGAACCAGACGCGATGCGAGTAGAATCCGGTGAGAACGAGACTGACGAAACTAACTAGTGTGCCCCTTCAAGGGCTCACCCAATGGCTGTCCCGTCCCTGCATCCCACAGCCGCACAGTGTTATCGTGCGAACCAGACGCGATGCGAGTAGAATCCGGTGAGAACGAGACTGACGAAACCGAACTAGTGCCCCTTCAAGGGCTCACCCAATGGCTGTCCCGTCCCTGCATCCCACAGCCGCACAGTGTTATCCTGAACCAGACGCGATGCGAGTACCATCCGGTGAGAACGAGACTGACAAACATAACTAGTGTGCCCCTTCAATATG